GCCACAACCGCTCCTCTTGAAACGAATAAAATTGCAATAGAATTTTGGTGAAAAACTAAAGCAAAGTGTTTGAAAAAAAGTTCTGAATTTCTACTAACTAAGATTATTCAAAGATTCAATTCATCATGAAAAATAACAAGAGCAAGGGCCTTTATATAGGCACAAATTATGTCTAATCCTAATCTACCTAGGGAACTAATAAAGCAATAAAATCCTAAACAATCTAGATATCATAATGCAATAAGGAAACCAAATAGCGAGGGGATCTAATGCCTTGGCTTGCACTCCAAGTAGTCTTGTCTTGCACTCCAAGTAAAAGACTCCCTAACGTTCTCTCTCTCTCTCTCTCTCTCTCTCTCTCTCTCTCTCTCTCTCTCTCTCTCTCTCTCTCTCTCTCTCTCTCTCTCTCTCTCTTTCTTGCGCCGCATAGGGCTCCTATGCCTTGCGCCTCGCCTTAGTCCTATAGGACTAAGGCCGCGCCGTCTTTGCCCGTCTGTCCTCTTGCCTCGAGGATTAAGGCCTCGCGCCCTGCGTGCGCCATTCCTATTCCTTGAAGGATCATACTTCGAGCCCATATCCACTTTGCCTATTCCTACTAGGAATATGCCCCCGGCTATGTTGCCTGATCTCTCGAGGATTACTCCCGTCACCGATCTTTCACGCGCGTTCCAGCACTTAGCTGCTTTTCCTAGTCCTGCAGGGTCTAGTACTCACGCCTTTCCTATTCCTATTAGGACTAGGCTTGCTGCCCTGGTCTTTCCTCGCCCTTCGGGTGTACACGCGATTGCACCCTTCGCCCGCGTGACCAACTCGTGCGTGTCGCCCAGCGCCCCGCGCACCCGTATCGCACACCTCCCAATCCTTCGAGCCACCCGATGTCTTGGCATCTCCACCAGGCTTTGTTTCTTCGATGTGCATCCCTAAACCTCCAATGGCGCTTCCTTTTAAGGCGTGGTCTCGTCCGAGCACGTCTACGCCAATGCGCGTGCTCGCGCCCTTCCGGTTGGGTCGATTCACGCGTTGGCCGCGTTTGGGTTGACTTGTGTTGCCTCTTTTGTTCTCGCGCACCTCGCATTCGCGCTCGTAACCGTCGCTTAGGCCATGCATGCGTAGTTTTGGCCCTTTTCTCGGCCTTCTCGAGCCTTCTCGGCTCTTGGACCTTCTCGTCGTCGGGGCTCGAAACCCACTTCCGCATCACGCGTACTGGCAGGCCACTGCCGGGCTGGCGCTGCACCGCTACGTGCGGGCAGGCCCTACGGTTGGCCCTTCGTCGGCCGCCCGACAACTTTTCCGGCAACTATGACTTGGCTGAACATGAAATGACATGAAATGGTTAAATATACATAAATTGCTCGAGAGTGTTCGGCTAGATTATGAAATAGCTTGGGAGGGCTTATATAGCACCTCCGAGGGCATTATGACTTAAAACATGGACCGAATGACATGACTTATGCATGATCTTGCTAATATGGACAAAATAGTTAATAGAGAGTTAATAATGAAAGTACCCTTCCGATCGCTCGTGGAAAGGGCTATGACATGCGTGCGCTACCTTACTTTCCCCTCGGCAATGGCTCGTGCAAGTGAACCTCCACTTATTTTCTTATGCTTGGCTACTTTTCTCTCTTTTCTCGGCTTAGCTCGGACGTGCGTGAAGAATGAAGTTTAGGGTCGTGAATCTATATAAATAGATAAAATACTAAATGGAGGTGAAAGATGATGTTTAATCGTGTCATGCCACTTGTTTTAACAGGGTGCTTCCGTGGCACTCTTTTTGCTCGGTCATCACACGAGAGGCAAAGGTCATGGTATGTAGCAAGCTAGTAGGTTAGCCACTACAAGCCACTTGCATAAAACTTATCCTAAGTTAAAATTTGCACGACAACTAAAGCCACTTGCATAAAACTTATCCTACGGTAAAATTTGCACGGAAACTAGTAGTGCACTAAGCATGGCTTAATTGACATGATTATAGCACTAACTAACACATAGGCATGGACGGTGGTCTATACGCACGGTGCGCACGCATGCTCTGCACTAGCGTGCGTTACTAACTAACACATACGCGTGGACGGTGGTCTATACGCACGGTGCGCACGCATGCACTGCACTAGCGTGCGTTACTATGGCGACGTGCACGCTTAAACTATAGATGGACGGTGTACCAATGTGAACGCGGCATCTATAGGGATGCATGACAACTTAAACCGAATTTACCCATTTTCGGTTGGAACTTAACTTCGAAAATTAATTCGAATGATCTTGATTCCAAATAATTAATCCGACTAATAATATTCGTTTATAAAATGAACTTTTCGGGAACTAATTATCGGAACTAACTTGGTTGCTGAAAATAAAATAAACCGAATAGCTTTTCGACTTAAAGTCGAACTTATTTCTGAATAACTTATTAACTGAGCTCGAAAGTCATCTTTGACGATTTATCGAATATTCTCAAATTCGATTAATACGTCAACACTGGAATAATTAATCCCAAATATACTAATGTCCATTTATTAAATAAATGAACTGAGATAAATTACTAGAATTAACTCGGTTAATAAAATTAACCGAATATATTTTCGACTTAACGTCGAACTTGGAACTTAAATAGCTGAATAACTTAAGCTTGAATACTAATATTGAGCATTTATTAATAAAGGCTAGCTTATACTCGGAAGCTAGTATTTTTTCCTTATTAATAAAAACTGGGGCGTTACATCAAATGTTCCAGAACAGACCAAGACGTAATTGGCAAGTACGATGACTAAATTGACCTTTTAAAAGCTCGGTTTTATAGATTCTATCAATTTCATTTTGATCTGACAATCATGTTTGGGTCAAAGTACATATGCTTGCAGTTATTTACTTATGCAATCGTACTCCTTGTCTTACATTTGGATAGTGTGGTTCGTGGTGTCTCGAGCAGAAAGATCACCTACTGGTTCCTTGTAAGACTAAATTTATCGTTCACAGTCCAGACAAGCAGTGAGACCCCTTTTGAAAAAAGATTGTAGTGTATTTTTGATTCAGTTTGTCTTTAACTGGAGAAATACACTAGTACTTATGATAAGTATTGAACATGACCGTGGAAAGATAAGATTATGAGATTCACTGATCCTTGTTGTAATCTAGACCTTCGATTATTGTTGCGTTCTCTAAAGTTGTAAGATAATATAAAACGAGCATATATATTGATTACTTGTTTATTTGATTTACCAAGACTGATTCCTATTCATCTAAGAGTACTTACATGAGACCGTTTATGTCCAAATTTCAATCGCTAACCTAAAAAGGATATGTTCACGGTTCTCTCCAACTTGTAAACCCAAGTTTCACTTGAGCCGAAAACTGACTTAAGAGCATGGGCTCCAACGGGATCGGCAATATCCCTAACTCTCTTCGCGACTACCACCGCGGCGGCGGAAACCATCACCACCATTTCTTTTTTATATCACCACTCTGCCCATTTCACCATTCAATTTTGCATCCAAAAAATCACTCGCCATTGTGTAACTTTTCTACTTGTTATTCTGCCTCTCCCAATCCACATCTCAACTTTCCGTGTACTCATCGCCATGAAGAATTTGATGCCTCGTAAGACTTTCTTTGTGTTTGTTATTTCCTTTACATTCTAATTCTGCCAAGGTTTTCTTTCTTTCTCTATTATCTATTTTCATTTTTTTTT